TGGTTTGGTTCAGCTACAAAATCAGACATCAGAAGACTACAGAGAACGGTTCAGACCACTGAAAAGATTATTGGTGCTCCCCTGCCCACCCTTCAAGAACTGTATACATCCAGAGTGAGGAAAAGGGCTCAGAAAATCACTCTGGATCCCTCCCATCCAAGTTATCCCCTTTTTGAACTTTTGCCATCTGGCTGGCGCTTCAGAGCCGCAAACACCAGGACAGCCAGGCACAAGAACAGTTTCTTCCCCCAAGGCAATCTACCTCATGAACAGTTAAATGTTCCCCACATTATGCAATAAAAATGTGCAATAACCTTATATTTATTTGTTACCACCTCCATCCTAGTACATCCCTGCATCGCATTCTATTCTATTCCATTCTATCATCTATAGCACAACTGTACATACAATTTATTTATTTTTCTATTTATTTTTCAATATTTGTCTATTTATATTTACATATGTGTATTTTTTTATTCTCATTTATTTTTATTTTCTGTGTGTTGTTGTTGTCTCTGTGTACTGGAAGCTTATGTCACTAAAACATAACACTTTTTTTTTATTAAAAAAAAAAACCTGCAGGGTAAAGTACAGTGTAATGGTGACCTTTACATTAAACATTAAATTTACAATACTGAGATATGATTATATCTATTTTAACATTGCTAATTCTCGGAATTCTTTCCATCTTTCCACATGCTCCATAAAATAGCCCCCTTTTGCTTTTTTAATTTTAAAGAAAAAGTAAGGGTTTCCATCTTACATATTTCAATTACAATTGCTTTCCATTCTTCTAGAGTGGGAGGATTAAGTTGAAGCCATTTACGAGTAATAGCCTTTTTAGCTGCGACCAGTAATATTCTCCATAGGTATGTATAATTTGTTTCATGCAAATCCAGAATTCCCAAATATAACACATGAAACTGAAATGGGATATTAATCTTGAATATGGCCTCCAATGTCCGGTGTATGTCTTTCCAAAACAAGTGTATAACTGGACATGCCCAGAATATATGGTGGTGATTTGCTACATCTGAATTACAGTGTCTCCAACACCTAATTCCTATTTCACTATTGCACTTTTGTGCAGGGGATATCAAAAAATCGAATTACATTTTTCCATGCAAATAACCTCCACTGATGTGAGCCTGTGGTTTCCCATTGGGATTTACACGTTTTTAACCAAGCCTCTTCTGTTATAATAATGTTTCCTTCCTTTTCCCATTTAATTCGGACATATGAGGTAGAATCTGATCTGTAATTTTGAAAACAATGATCAAATTTGGAGATTACCTTACTAATAGTATTAGCCCTATATGCCGACAGGAATATCTTTACTAAATCATTCTGTGCCCAATCCCCGCTCTTGTTCACTTTTGAATTAAAGTAGTGTCTTATTTGAAAGTATCTAAACAAGTCTTGATTATCCAACTTAAACTGATTTTTAAATTCTTGAAAAGTTAAGAAAGTATTATTGTTTGTAACAGAATAATATGATGTAATGCCATTCTTACTCCAATTCTTAAAAGATTCATCTAGAGTACTTGGAGTGAAATCTGTATCGTATGCACACCACCTCAATATCTTTAGAGCGTCTTTCAAATCATATTTTTTTATTACTGTGGCCCATATTTCTAGGATAGTCATTATCCATGGATATTCTTTACTTATATATTTTTTTAATAAATTATCATCTGCAATTACTGCCTGAATCGGTATTTCAGAAAAAAAGGAGAAATCAATCTGTTTCCATCTAGCTTTATAGTCTGGATTGCACCAGCAAACTATAGGTCTTAACTGGGCAGCTATAAAATAGTCTTTAAGAGATGGGAGAGCCAAGCCTCCCCTTTCTTTTGGTAACTGGAGTGTTCTATATCGAATTCTGGATTTTTTACCTTGCCAGATAAACCTTATAATCCATTTGTCCCAATCTTTAAATTGTTCTTCTGGAACCTTTAGGGGAAGTGTCTGAAATAAGTATAAAAGCCTTGGGAGCATATTTATTTTGATAATATCCACTCTATCCCCTAAATTCAAGAAAGGGATGACGTTCCATCTCTGAATGTCTGCTCGTAGCTTAGCATTTAGAATTCTATAATTTACATCTGACAAAGTTCTAGTATCCTTTGGCAGATATATTCCTAAATATTTGATTACCTCTGTATTATATTTATTACAAAAATCAGCATTTTTTCCCCATGGCGTTTCATAAGAAGTGTTTGAGATTCACATGTAAAACCTGCACTTATCGTAATCATTCCCTTGAGTGTACATACCTTGTCATGGACCAAAACCTTGAGACATCAGAATGGCCATAGTCTATAAAAAGCACATTTCTGACAGTATTTCATGTCCATCGCATTTTAATTGTTTACTGAGATCATTTAAAGCAATATCCACACAATGTAACACATAATTAAATCTTGTGATTCATCTTCACATTACACATCTAGAGTCTCAGAGTTGTTCGTAGCCTTGGTTACGGCGTTCTCTGACGAGCACATACGTCAGAATGGCAATGAGGCAAACGGCTGCAGCTACAGCACCAAGAATAATGGGGATCATGCGCTTGTTGTAATCATCCCAGCACTCAACCTCTGAAATCAAGACGTGAGAAATCCTGTTATTCTTGGGTAAATAGGTTAACAGAACACAGATGTGTTTAAACTGATATATGTAGTATATAAAAATAGCATCTCTACGGTCTACGATGTGAAATGTATGTACCTTTTCCAAACGCTTCATTATTCAGATCAAAGGCTTGAATCTGGAGTGGCACCAGTTTGACTCCGAAGTAGCTTGCCAGTATCAGAGTTGTCTGAGACTTGCATTGGAAGCTTAGGCCATTTTTTGCTTTGAATAGCTTTTCGTGATTTACAACTCCTACGTAGGCCTTAGCTGTGGATTAAATGTATAAAATGTACTTAGTTCGAGACATTTTTTTATGTTAAAATACATTCTCTTAACCCAATGTATTGTTCATCGTCTACTATACAGTAAAGTATGCCATTCTTATCTCCCCCAGAAGTGTAAACAGTGAGCCTCCCAGGCACCATTTACATGCCAAAAAAATGTGTAAACTCTTCATGCGTTTTGTTTATGCATTTTGGCTATTTATTTAAATGACCACACAGTTCTGAGGGCCTGAAAATGCAAACTTTTGAAAACTATGGAAGGCTGCAGGTGTCAAAACTCTTTAAACAGTAAGTGAGAAATTTGACCGTGACAACACGCATTGTTTGTCCACATAAATGCTGCAATTTTGAATGTGTTTCTTTTGTATGTGTAGACGCGCACATTCTGGCTGTGTTAAGGCATCAGTTTGCTGCGTTTCTTTAGCACATGTAAAAACTTACTGTTTTACGGTGTTAAGACAACGTATTTGAACTTGTCTTTCAATTTGCTCACATTCTGGCCATGTTCGAATGTGTAATACTCTTTTAAAGGAGACTGACTTCTAGATTTACCCACATATTAGTCATGTCTTTAGTTTATTGCAGCATTGCTTTTCTGATATCTACTGTGCTAGAGTAAATTAATTAATCTAACTTAAGTCTGACATCACACACAATGTACCAATGCACTATCCTTATGAACAAATATACACTGTAAAAAATGCTGGGTTGTTTCAACCCAACGTTGGGTCAAATATGGACTAACCCAACTTTTGGGTTAAACATTTAATGTCAAAAATTTACCCAACAGCTGGGTTAGTCCATATTTGACCCAAAGTTGGGTTGAAACAATCCAGCATTTTTTACAGTGTAATGTCTGATGTTTGCATACATGTATACCAGTGTACCATTCTGACATCCTATGTCTCAAATACAGCAATTTTATCGGCTTCTGTGCATGTTGTCACATTAACACGCACAAACAGTTTGTTTTGACAGGTCAAATTTCACCCGTTCCATTTAAAGACTTTTGGTGCTATCTGCCTTCCATAGTAAATGATACCATTATGTTCTCTGTGTAAACTGTAAAAGTGTGAATTTGTGAAAACGGTAACATTGAGCACATGTGCATGTTTTGTTACAAAGTGACATCGCTAACTACTGGCATACAGTATTCTTAAAGGGGTCATATTATGCTTTTTTAAAGATCATTATTTTGTGTATTTGGTGTAACAGAATATGTTGACATGCTTTAATGTTCAAAAAATACATTATTTTTCAAATACTGTACATTATTGTAGGTCCTCTATGCCCCGCCTCTCTCAAATGCTTCGTTTTCTACAAAGTCCCTCCTTCCGACAAGCGCAGTCTGCTCTGATTGACCAGCTGACCCAGTGCATTGTGATTGGCCGAACACCACAAGCACTCTTTTTAGCTTAACCAATAGCGAGAGACTGGGGCGTGACTACTGTAGCAGGCTGATCCAGAGTGTTTAGCCGGTTTGGGACTAAAGGCCTTCAGTTTTCAGTAAAGGCCTTCAGTTTTTACGTGTAAGCGAGGGTACGCGTACAGTGCATGTGATGCAAATTTCATCACCAGAATAGTATGTGTGTACTATTTGAGCACCGGACGATTTTTATAACAGATTTTTGTAACTTTGTAGACATAGATTAGGGGTGTTGAAATTAACCGTTGCATGCGCATCGATTTCACATGCGCTTAGTGTTTGTTGTCCTGAAGCTCGATCGCGGCTACGGTTAAATGCACTTGCCTCTCCGAATACTTTTTATGATACGAAATTGACATAAACACAGCCAGTGTTTGTCCACAGTCGGGACAAAACATCTGATATGTCAGAATAGATCTGTGCATTGGTGTGAATGCAGCCTATTAAAGCTGCCACTGTCTCTGATCTCATCAGTAAATCAAACAGCAATAATGCTGAGGAAAAAAGAAAAACCCATAACTTTGATTGTCTGTAAACTTTTGGATACTTAAAGGACTCTCAGATACTGAAATAACTTTTTGTTTATCACTTGTAATTGTCTTTTATTCCCCCCTTTATTACTTTATATTTGCTTGTATGTTTTGAAGCTATATTTATTTGGTTAGGTTCTTAACAATTGTTTTGATTTATTATTAATTTGTAATTATTTTAAAAAGTAGCCTGCTTATACAATTTAATAAAAATGCACAAAATACATTTTATATAATCATGATCAGGGGCGGTTCTAGGGTGAGTAGATATCTGACAACCTTTTGCACTGTTACCGCAATGCTCTACCACTGAGCCACAGGAACATATATATATATATATATGTGTGATCCTTAAGAAATTATTCTAATATGCTTTATTTTATGATTTATTATTAGAATTATCAATGTTGGCAACAGTTGTGCTGTTAGAATTATTTCTGAAGGCGCCGCCCCTGATCATGATGCATCATGGTATCAAATCAAATCGTTGACATCATAATCGTAATTTAATCAAATTTTGAAACTATCAACGATTTACACCCCTAAAGTAGATTGCACATGTGCAATTACTTGATTTTGCACTAATCATTTGTTCCACAAGGTGGCAACGCTGGCCGTTGTTTCACAGTAGAAAATGAAACTAAATAGATGGAACAAAAACTTGCCAAAATACTGTACACAGAGACAGAAAACAGTGTAAAACAAGGATAAAAATTGGTTGTGTTTTTACAAGATGAAAGAATTTGATGGAAATGTTTGCATCTTAATCAAGATGTGTGGAGTTTCTTCTCGACAGGTATAGTAAGCGAAATTCAGATTTTTGCCACTTGTTAACTCTCAAACCCCAGATAAAATATTAACATATATTTTTATGATAAGAATAATCGTGATAATAAGTGCGTGATAATGTTTTTTGTAAAGGTTGTAGTGTAATTTATACTTACTCTGGCAATTTTTACAAGGGGGAACAGGTCTCAGAAGACCTCTGACAGTATTCACATAGGAGAGATCACCTTCCTGCAAGTGTGGGGAAATATTGCATTGCATGTTGATTAAGGCTGCTTGTTTTGCACGTTTAACCTCAAAGAGAAAACTTATCATAGAGATAAAAGCTACTGTAGGTACCTTGATGAAAGTGAACTCCAGATGTCCACCATCAAACTCCAGTGAGAAAACAGACTTTTGGCTCCCACATTCTCCCCTGACTCGTGTAAAGCTGGGATTCACGTTGAAATAATACTTCTTCTGCAATACAAGTGTGGAATACATTGTGATTACTGCATCAGCATCATGTTAGTATGAAAATCCTGTAAAATTAACAATATAAAAAAAACATCATGAGCTAAAGATCAAGACACTCAAATTTGGTGTGGCTGCACAGAAATTGTAGGCATAGCAGAAAACAACAACAACAATAATAATAATAATTCAAATTAAATGAAAATGGAAAAAATAAAATGTAAAAAAAATGTTTTTTACATCCCAGTAGACATGACATTGTACTCTTTGAGTGGACTGAATGCATGTGCACAGTGAAAAAGATATTGGCAGAAAAAGTGAAATGTTGTTTAATATTATAGAAATAACATACTTTTAAATAATATACTTAAGTGCAAACTTAATGTAATGTTTTCAGATGTTTAACTGCATATTAATTGCAATTAAATGAAAATGTATTATAGTTTACATTTATATTATATTAATTTAGCTGAACATTTAAGTATTTTGTCTTATCCACTTAATTAGGACTTAAGTACATTTTAAGTAACATACTTTTGTCATTTCTATTGAAACTTGCATGTAATGTATTTAAATATGCACATATTAACTTTAAATGTAATATTGATTAAGACGCTACAGGTAAAATGACTTTACTTGTATTTTAGTATGTTAGTTGACGCATCAAAAATAAGTACTTTTTATAGCATTCAAAATGCATTTTTAAGTAAAACCTTTAATTTGACATTAGTGCACTTGTTAAAAGTATACGTAAGAGTGTTATGAAACAATGATGAAAGCTTAATTAAATTACACTCAAGTGGCTCTTTATTCCATTAATATTACATTATTTGCAAGTAGTGTTTTTAAAATAAACTTAAGATTTGAGGTTCATTACAAGTGTACATTCAATACAATTAAGAGTACTTATTTCTTACAAGGGATTACAATAAGGTTTTTCATTTTATAGTTTGTCTTAATTATGGGCTATTCCATTCCACCATCAAACAATGTAAAATATTAGAAATATGTACTCTTAAGGATGCTGACCCATTGTAAAACTGTTGTGCCCATTCAAGTTCTGCACGTTTTTTTCTGAGCCGTTGACAATGTTGGTGGTAAACCAAGTGAGTTCTCACCCCTTTCTAAAATATGCTGAGGAGTTGAATAAAAATGCTGAGAAAATAACCAGCTTACTTTGTTCTCTCGCACCATGTACTCCACTCCCAAACTGGCCCGCACACACACTTTGCCCTGAGGGCTCCTCAAGGTGTACAGAAACTCAGGCGGGATGCTTTCTTTGGGCTGGAGAACGGGTCTCTGGGACAGATTCGTAATGGGAGGATCACTGTTGATGATGGCAGGAACTTCGTCCGCTGTAGCTGAAAGTTGAAGAGGGTTTGAGGCTAGAGAGCTTACTGTAAGCACAAAACAACGGGGGACTTTAACACCATTTCGTGAAGTGTTAACCAACACAGAGCTACCAGGACCAATCATTGATGCTGTTAAACTGACTCAGTGTTGCTTTGTTCTGGGTTCTCAGAAATGAGGCTAGAACTTACTAGAACTTTATAGTTATAAATCTATTTATAAATCAATTTTTCTCGTTATAAATCATCATTTATAAGTATATATGCAAAGTTTTCTACCATTAAAATCACTATTTGACTTCAAATGAAAGGTGAATCAACTCACCTAGCCGATGCATGGAAGACAGCAGAAGAAGCAAAGCGGTGTGGTAACTTGCGTGAGTCATTTTGAGAAAGTGGCTCTTGTGTTTCAGGGCAGTTGCTCTTATGGTATCAGCTCTGAAGCCACGGTAAAATAATGCACATGTGGTTGTGGAGGAGGACACTTATGCTTTGATGCTGTCAGCAATTGTCTGACATCAGGAAGCTTCTTTAGCCAAGCCCACGATTAGTAGACCAAATAATGATATCAGTAAAAACTCTATATTGGTGTAAAACATACAGTATATTCCAGTTCAAGAGTTTTAGTTTTAAATTGAATTTCTAAGCAATCTAGACATCTCTTTGATTAAAAAGTAGAAATTTACTCAATTTAGTGCCACCAACAGGTCAGTTGTCACTAATATTTGCCATACTTTTTCGTTGGAGAAAAAATGCATTCAGTGCCCCAAAGGGTTCAATGACACAGCAACTTGAATTACCAATAACTTGAATAAATTCCATTTTCGTGGAGCTTCAGCGTGTGAGCAAATTTTAAAATCTTCCACATTCATCGCAACTAACAGCAACTTTGTTCACTGCTCAACCATATGTATCTGTTTTGAAAACAAAACTGAAAATATATGAGCTTTTATTAAAAACAACACTTCAGGACACAATGGAATAAAACAGTTTTGTGTAAGTGTGTAACTTTTTGCTTTTTGTAATGTGTGAACGATGCAGATCACTCAGACATGTCTGTTCACACTTTGTGTGCTCGGTTCACTTTTTTACTTCCCTTTCCACTTTGGTTGGTTTGAGTGTGTGTCTGTGTGTCTTCAAGTTTCTTGTTTATTTATTTATATATTTTTTAAGTTTAAAATGTGTAAGTGCAATCCATGTTGTTATATATTAATTTGTAAATTATCTTACCAATAATCATTACATATATGAAAGAATGCAATTTTAATTAAACAAAATGACTTGACAAACACGTTTCAGTTTCTAAATTAAGTTATTTATACTTTTTTGTGGTGCTTAAAAGTAAAAAAAAAAATGACTTTGTAGATTAATTGACTTTGCAATTAAAAGGAAAAAAAAGCAGGTAGTCATTGTAACGGAGCCGACGAGACGAGAGGCGTGTGGATTCCTATGCAAAGCTTTATTCTGAAACATGGTCAAAACAGGCAAGGGTCGGACAATGGCAAACAGGTATTCAGAGGGCAAGACAGAAGAGTACTCAGATAAACAGGTGTAGGTTGATAGATGGCAAACATAATCCAATGGATGAGGCAAGAGAGTAATCCACAGACAGATAATAAATCCAGGCGAGGTGCGAACAGAATCCAGACGACAAGACGAGAGAGAAATCCAAGACAGGCAGGTAATCAGGAAACAGACAATAAGGCAAAACTAGACGTGACTAAACTGGACTGTAACTAGAAACTAGACAAAACTCAGAAAGGATACTGGCTCCGTAAAGTGCTACCACTAGGAGAGCGATATACGCAAACAATACTCGGCAGTGGGGAAGAGGAAGTCCATGGCTTATGTAGGGTGTTTGATTGGCTGCAGCTGTGTGTGTAATCAGTGCAAGGGATGATGGGAAATGTAGTCCGGGGTGACATGCAACAGTTTGTGTAGTGTGAGAGTCAATGTAACTGGAAGGCAACATCTGGTGGTGAGCAGACGGAAAACCACGGACCAGATTTGTGACCAAAAAATGCAATGTTGTCTAAATGGACAACTGTTCACCTCAAACGATGAGCATTCCTCTTAAAAGATCTTTAAATACAACCTGATGGCTTCATTTTTAAGTAATTTTTTATATTTTTAATATTTTGCGTAATAGTAATAATATTTTGAATATTTTGCTTGCTATTTCTCATTTTGAGTGACATACACATAGCAAAATTAGCAAAACAAAAGCATTGGACAAATTACCAACACTTCAAACATGTTAAATGCAGTGTTGGGGAAAGTTACTTTTAAAAGTAATGCATTACAATATTGCGTTACTCCATAAAAAAAAGTAACTAATTGTTTTACTTAGTTACTTTTTATGGAAAGTAATGCTTTACGTTACTTTTGCATTACTTTTTGTCACCTGGGTTGGGCTTTGTTTAAAAAGACAAAAAAAAACAAAGCTTATATTTTTTGTAACTGTAAAGACCCCTTTACCCCAAAAGTGATATTAATAAGTACCAGGCTGAAGGACAGGTGTGCTGCCAGTGAATCAATGGGAAATCAAAGTAACTTGCATTACTTATTTGAAAAAGTAACTCAGACATTTTCATGTAAATTCAAAAGTAATGCTTTACTTTACTAGTTACTTGAAAAAAGTAATCTGATTACATAACTCCCAACATTGGTTAAATGTACAGAGACAACTACAGTGACAACATTATGTCAGTTATGTTTCCGTATTAATGATAATTAATTTATAATGTATTAAATATAAAACTCTTCAAAGCTCATAACAAAAAAAAAAAAGTGAAATATAGCTATTAAAATATAATTCAATATGATGCATCACACATACATTTCTGAGAACATCCTGTTAATGTTTCATGTAATTATTATCTTGTTAAATATAATATGAACATTTAATATATATGCTAAGGTAACGTTAATTAATTTAGTTTATTATTTTATAAAAAAACTGTTAATTAAAACATTTATGTTTTTACTGCATTTTACATTATTGTTCTATTAAAATTACACATCTTTTTTTTTTTATGTATTATGTTTTTATTAGTAAATTCTCTTCAGTATGTTGAAGTAACTCTGTAGAGACTCAATTTGGTGCGAGATCATGTCTTTAATTCCATGAGGGGGAAATACACAGCACAGGTCAAAGGTAGAGGGGACAAAGTATGGCCTTAAATACACAATGCTGCTTTTGTCAATTTACTTAACGCAACTTTGCATTCTAACGCTGCTTGTGTGTCTCTGTTATGAAGCACTGGACTTTTCTTTAAAAAATACTTTGTGTAACTTACAATAACATGACAACTTGAGATAAATCCAAAAAACAATAAATACTGCAATCAATAATCTATTTGTAGACAAACTGGACTTGCAAACACTTTCTGGTGTTGAGTCCAGAACACATGGAACGCTCTGGACTGATCTTTTGGAACTGACTGTCCACCAAAATAAAATGTTAAAACTGTGATCTGATGTAAATTTGTGCACCATCATGTAAAGGTCTCAGTGAAGGTCTCTTATCATTGGTTTGGAGCGGCGATTCAGAGAACTGTGAGTGTTGTGGAGAGCATCTCAGAAGAGTAAACATAACATCTGCTGAATACCACAGCACCATATTTGGACAGCTGGAGATACAAACACAGAATTGAGCTTTCTAACAGTGAGTAAATCATTACAGAGGCAGATAGAGTCCAGCGTGGACACTTCTGAACTCTCTCACTCCAACACAGTTGGGTTTTCAGAAGAGCACAATGATGCGGGACAAGATCTTGATGGTTTTTGCGCTAGCTTGGCTTTATGCTTCTGGAGGAAGTGGACAAACTAACATTAAAATTCCGTGTGATGATAAACGTGTGGAGAATGTTGTGAATTTAACTCTTTCCACGCATAATAAGATATTAACTGAAGGTGGTCAACTGGCTCTCTATGAAATCCTGGAGGCTACAAAGGTAGGATGTAGTTTTGGTCTTTGCGTTATACAATACTTCAGCTCTAAGCAACTCTAGGTTGTCCTGCACTCTTAAAATAAAGGTTCTTTATTGGCATTGAAGGTTCCATGAAGAGCCTTTAACATCCATGCAACCTTATCAACGCACAAACGGTTCTTTAGATTGTTGAAACTTTCTTCATGCTAATAAAAAATGGTTCTTTTAAGAACTGTTCACTGAGAGGTTCTTTCGGGAAACAAAAATGGTTCTTCTGTGGCATCAGTGCGAAAACACCCTTTTTTTAAAAAGTGTAACAATGCGATAGAAGAGCCATTTTTTCCACTACACTCTTCCAAAAGGGTGTTTTTGCAGTGATGCCATAGAAGAACCATTTTTGGTTCCCCAAAGAACCTTTCAGTGAACAGTTCCTAAAAGAACCATTTTGAAGAACATTTTAGAAATCTAAAGAACCTTTTTTGACTATAAAGATCTTTTTCTGCATTTGAAAGGTTCCATGGATGTTTAAGGTTCCTTATAGAACCATTGATGCCAATAAATAACCTTTATTTTTAAGAGTGTAGTAAGAACCTTTAGTGGTTCCATTGATGTTAAAGGTTCTTCATGGAACCATCAATGTCAATAAAGAACCTTCATTGTTAAGAGTGCAGCATAATACGGTAATTTTCACAGGCCCAGAATGAATCGGTGGAAGTCGTGTTTGTACGGTTCACAAGCAGAGAGACAGATTGTCCTGCAGGAGGAGACAAGGTTTGGCATGAATGTGACTACCTGCAACAAGCGGATAAGGTAAGATCTTATGAAGTCATCTACATGATGATCTACATTCATTATTGCCAAACAAACCCTCGCATTTAGAAACAATACTAACTGATCAATTATATCAGTTATAAAGATTAGCGTAAATTATCCAAATATGTTTCCAAACACAATCAAATACTTTTAAAAGTAATGCATTACAATATTGCGTTACTCCATAAAAAGTAACTAATTGTGTTACTCGGTTACTTTTTATGGAAAGTAATGCATTACGTAACTTTTGCGTTACTTTTTATCACATGAGCGGGGCTTGCTTATTTGTTTTCTTTTTGTTTTTTTAATAACACAAAACCCAAAAGTTACCTTTTTGTCAACTGTAAAGGCCCTTCTGAAGAAAATGCCTCTTCTTGAAAAAGTAATCTGATTACATAATTTGCGTTACTTGTAGTGCATTACCCCCAGCCCTGGTAATTAGTGCCTAACAGCAGGCTTTGGCCATGATTATAGTACTGTACATGTATATTTTGGTTCCTCAGGCACTCATAATCTGTCACGGGACAGTCCAGTTTGAAGAAGCAGGTCAAGAGTTACTGTTACATGACTGTACAGGTATGTCGCATGTTGTGTTATGACTGTAATAACTGCAATTTAATCCCTTTCTTACTTTACAGTTATAGGTACACACAGTCATTTTTCCGTATTAAAGGTTTTATAGCACTTTTCTGCCCTAGAAATGCAAACTATAGTAACTACAAAATAAACTGTCCAGTGACAAACAAGATTCAGATTCCCTCAGATTAAGGACTTTTTTTTAAAAATAGATCAAAATTTAAAACTTTAAAACCATATTTTATTTTATTTTTTTTCAGTTCCAGTATTGGCGTCATTACTGTGTTTAGCCTTTGTAGGGCTTTTGTGACAAATTGATTAAAATCATGTATGTTCACGTGAGATGACGACTCCAGTCATATCAGACAATTCATAATTCTCAACAGCACCACATAATGAATTAATAACAAAAATTAATGAACAGATTAATAATTAATAATGAATTATACAACTACTACAAGTACAAGCTCACCTGGATACAAACTATACACTCATGTTAAGCTTATGGACCATATAGCAAATCTCAACTGCCTGATTGCTTGTATCGTCGCAAATTGTAACAATACTATAAACTTGATTTTCTGTAAAGCTGCTTTAAAACAATGTGTATTGTGAAAAGCGTTATACAAATAAAATGACTTACTTTTTTTTACATACAAGATACGGGACTGCACTCCTCCCATAAAGCATTGCCAATCAAATTGGATAGAAAATGCTATATTATTATACTGTTTATGTATAGTCTTTGCATAAAACATTCAAACATTTACAAGAACTTTATATCAGTATTTTAAAGGGATAGTTCACCCAAAAATTAAAATTCTGTCATTAATTACTCACCCTCATGTCGTTTCAAACCCATAAGACCTAGAACACAAATTAAGATATTTTTGATGAAATCTGAGAGCTTTCTGTCCCTCCCATAGACAGCAATGTAATTACCACAATCAACGTCCAGAAACGTAGCAAGGAGATCGGTAAAATAATCCATGTGACATCAGTGGTTCAACCGTGATTTTACGAAGCTACGAGAATATTTTCAACGTAATCAGCGTTGTTTACGTTCAGGATAAAGCGCGCGCATGCTGAACATAAACAACGCTGATTACACTGATTACGTTCTGGGGTACTCTCCAAAATGGCGGAAGATGGTAACTCTGGGAGAAGAATTGTTGAATAAATTATGTTATTATTGTACTTGTTTCGTAAAATTACGGTTGAACCCCTGATGTCACATGGATTATTTTACCGATGTCCTTGCTACGTTTTTGTGCGTTGATCATGATAATTACATTGCTGTCTATGGAGGGTCAGAGAGGTCTCAGATTTCATCAAAAATATCTTAATTTGTGTTCCAAAGATGAACGGAAGTCTTATGGGTTTGGAACAACATGAGGGTGAGTAATTAATGACAAAATTTTCATTTTTGGCTGAACTATCCCTTTAATTGTGCGATTTCCCTTTGCAACACTGACTACTCTGATTGGTTGGATCTCCCTTTTGAATTTTGTGTAGTATTGCAATTTGTCAATTAAACAATATTTTTTAAATGTTGAAAGCTGAAATATGGCACCTATTAAAGCATATATCAGATTTTACTCACTCTCTTTCCTAAACTTTCTCGACAGCTGAGCCAGCTGCTTCCTCTAAAGTCGCCCCGTGTCTGGGCTGCCCTGAAAAGATCGATTTATATCATGAAGAACTGAGAGAACCACTCATTCATTCTTTGAAGAAAGCCAACGGCATGGTCAATCACAAGCATTTCTTCATCTTTAAGGACTTGACATCTGCAACAAAACAGGTAAATTACTTCTTTTTCGGTCATGCAGCTGTTTGATTCCCAGGGAATGTGTTCACTGAAAAGACCAATGGCCTGAATGCAATATAAAGTGACTTTAGGTAGAGTTGTCTTCCAAATGCACAAATATGACTGTGAAATCACCTCATTTAATCCATTGGACTGTTTTTGTCAGATTGGGCTGTTGGCTGCAATTGGCTGCAATTGGTTGAACTCAAGATCATCAAGGTTAATGTTGTTCTGTTGTGGATCTTTTCTGTGTGTAGGTGGTTGCTGGATTCAGGTATAAACTGCAGTTTTTGATTGAGAAGAGCAACTGCACCAGGGCAGAATTCAAAGTGGTTACTAAGGAGTGCCACCCAATGCAGGAAAAAACGGTACCATCCAAAATCACTCTTTTTTGAAAGCTAGTGTAATTGAATATTTGAAGAGTTCAGATGCAAAAGCCTATAAGTGCCAACATTTGTATCAGGCTCCTGTGTGTAGGTTCAGTAATTTTCACTTGAATGGCAATGAATAGGTTCTTTTGGTGAAATAACTGATCATATATTTTTTACGGTAAAATTCCGGCAACCACAGCTGCCGTTTTTTTACCGTAAATTTTACGGAATTTTTTTTACAGTGTCGGAGCCTAAGAAAAATACTCATTTTATAAGAAACTTTCAAACGGCACTTAGAGGCTTTTGCATCTGAACTCTTCATTTATTAGTTTAGTCTGAGATAGAACAATAATAAGTTGTTCTTTGATAGAATGTTGAAATTATTTATCAAATTTAAGGAATGTGTACAGTACTTGTGTTCTTGTAGCCTCTCACATAAGTTGTTGTTTAGGAGGTTTTGCAGTGTAACTCTACGGTTGATATGGCTCCTTGGAGGCACACTGGCCCAGAAGTGCATGTTGAATGTGAGACGGTGGTTATTAAGGTGAGCCAACCCATCAATCATTTATTTTTATTAAACGATATAGATCATTTTCAAAGCATTGCGATAGATTTTCAATAAACCCATTCATGCCCAACGTCGTGTTTTCAGACTGTCGCAAGATTTAAACGGCCACCAGGCTGGTCTCCTCTTAGGATCAAGCCTGAAAGGACAAAAGTCAAAGAATCCTCAGAGGAATCCAAGGAGAGCATCAGCACAACCCAACGCACACCGCTCAACTGTCCTACCAAACCCTGGAAAGAGTTCAAGCCGGTCATTGCCAGCATCGCTCCTCCAAACACTACAGAGTCTTCACAGCCGGACACGACCGCAGCAGACTCTGCATTCAACGACCAGGATCTGATAAGCTGAGCCCCTCAGTGTGTGTGTTTAAATGGATACCTAAAATAAAAAAAGAAAGAAGGATGAAAGGAAATTCAACTACCATTCTTATAAGGTGTTTCTGACGTTTTGAATAAAGTGTTAGTATTCATTTATTTGTGGATTCTACAATAATTCACAGTACACTGTCTCATATTTCACAATATTTCACAATAAAGACCAAGATCCAAATATGCTGTTTATTAGAATTGTGTTGCACGTCTCTGTAACATATGATATGGCATATTTGGCCCTCTTGTGGTCGAGACGTAAACTGCGAGTTAAAGAGCGATCACGTTTACCGTTTTAGTGAATTCTGTGGAGAACATAATTTCAATATGAATTAGGAATTTCGCGTGAGAGCAAAAGATTTTCCCACGTGTATTAAACAAGAAAACGCAGGTTGGTCACGCGAATTTGTCCAACAGTGTGCTTCATAAATCGCTACATCGACAAAATGGCTACCCTTTTGCCCTCTTATTGTGACCGCACTTTTTGCGGTTCTCACGGGATAACATTGTTTTGTTAATTACGTGAGGTGAGGATAAGAGTTAGGCGATTCAATCTGCGATAATGAATGCCTAATTGTCAGCGAATTACGGCTCTGTGTAGTAAATGCCGCTCCATCTGAAATTGATTGAGAGTTACTACTAATCACAGAACCGGCTTTACTGACGAGATGCGCATGACAATCGCATACGATTAATTGCACAGCCCTACTTTAAAGCCTCTGCGGCCATTGTTCTAACAACAAATAATTCCTCAGATAGATGCCTTTTTGAACGATCCATTGTGTAATGTTATGGCTACAAGTTGTCAGAATGAACACAACTGAGTGTGTTGGACCTGAGATTGTTGTGACATAAAGTGACGAAAAAGCAAAGACTAATTACGTCAAACTAACCCGCGAAATCCGACCCGACAGCTCAAATTATAAATCATTTCATAATCAATTATGATTAGTTATTTGTTAATGCTGAGATGCTTACGTTATTTTGTGATCAGCATTGTGACATCCTGCGTGTTTCATTTTCACTCCTAACCCATATGACACTCAAAACCAAAATAGATTTACAAAAGGAACTGGCCCCAGTCCCTTAAAATGGCTATTTCTTGTCATAGATGTTCCGGTAATTAAATGATCTTCTCCGGAAATAAAAATGGTTGGTAATTGTAGTCAAAGATGAGGTTAGGTGTACATCAGCGGCTTGATGTTTGAGGTTCATGGGTCAGACGTATGAATCATCATGCTGACGTTCTCAGGTGGACGGAGCTAGCGTTTAGTTTGCATTGCCTTCGGAGGTGCTATGGGGTCATGACCCATGACATCTACAACATCTCATGTTGATGCATTTAGAACGGATTTGTGTCATTGCACAGAGAGCTTATAAACGGTTGAGATGGTCCTTCTTCTGTTACTTGAGAGGAGTCGGTCACCATATACGTCTGTCTCAAATCAAGTCCTGTTTCCAGCCACAATGGTCAGTGATCGGATCTTTCTTCTAACCGTAACCTGCTCCGTCTTAATGCTACTAGTTAGCTGCGATGATGTTCTAGAGATCCGCTCTCCAGAAGATGACATGAAGGCTCAAGAGGAGAAAGAACTGGTGAGATAACTTTTGTTAAGGTGGTTTCTTCAGGCACTCTGCAAATCATTCTAAAAGTACAGCATTAACAGATAAAGTAATTGAGAAAATAACAATATCTTACAGATCGAGGCTCTTCAAGAAGTTCTTGAAAAACTGAGAAACAAACAGATCCCCACTGCAGAGAAGAAGTTTGGCTGGGTCCCCTCGGTAAGTCTGTTCAGCAATTAAGTCTTTGGGAACAGTTCACCGTGTCTATTTTACACATATTTTCACATAAATATAATTCATTAAATAACAATGTCATTAGGTCATTCATATTCTGCAGTACATTTTGAACTCTATATAAATGATTATCAACAAAATCATGTTTTGGTTGAAAATATTTTGTTTAGAGAAAGGACAAAAGGATTAAATACTATATTTCCAAACAAATTGCTTAATAAATAGATAAAATAATAAATATAAGTTTGTCATATTAAAATAATATGCGAATACGCAGCAAAAATCCAATAAAATTGTGAAATAATTTAAATTCACCTATATGTTGACTTAATTGTCTATTTATTAATGTATTAGAAAACTGTGATTTCTAATTTTTAGAAATGTGAGTGTAATACTGATTTCAAATATTAAAGAGGTAGTTCGCCCATAATTTACTCGACAAACCCATAAGTCTTTCATTCATCTTCGGCACGCAAATTTAGATATGTGTAATATCCTCTTATCATTTTTGACCATCTATTGAAAGTCTAGCTACTCAACACGATCGTCTGAGTTTCTGTTTACCATATTTGATGAGCTCTATATGTATGTGTGTTGATGTATATGTGAATAAATAAAGCAATAAGCCTTGTGAAGCCGTGGTTTACAGTGAATTTATAACAGCTAAGGGGCGTTGTAAAACCCCCTTAGCTGTTGTACATTCACTGTAAACCACGGCTTCACGGGGCTTATTGCTTTTATAAAACGGTTATTCCATATACGTAGTAAGGTTTCACAAAATAAAACAGAGCAAATAAAGTGTAATGATATTAATAAAAACATTATTCTTCCGCCAAACAATGTAGTTCCTCATGTTGCAACAAAGTGGTTGCCGAGCAACACACGGAAGTAAACAAAGGTGTATGTTTGTAGAGTAATTTACAACAGCTTCGAACGCGGCTCAGCCAATCAGAATCAAGCACCGGAACTCTCCGTTTTATAAAGTCTATTTTAAAAGCAGTTCATGATATAAAGCGATAGAAATCTTCCGATTAAACCATTTGATTTACTTGGATTACTTACTTTTTAAAGCTTGAACATGTTGATGCTTACCTTGACTTTCAATGGATGAACAAAAAAATGATGAGTGAACATTAAGAATATTTTCAATCTTGTTCCAAAGATAAACAAAAATAGTTTGCTTTTGGAACGACGTGAGGGTGAGTAAACGATGACAGAATTTCACTTTGGGATGAAGACCATCCATGATGGGAATATATGAAAAAGTAGGTACAGCATGGGAAATAACCCAATTTTATACAAGGTGTTCCACAAAGTGAGTTGTTCAAGTTGCATCAAGTACTTACTAATATAACTATGTAATATGAAAACTATAAAGTCTGACAAAACCATGAAGCAATGAAATGGTGTGTTTAGTGTGATGCAGGTGAGCAGTGTGCGGTTCGCAAAGGCGCTCGCTTCGGGAAGCTGTGCAGTTGTCCAGGAGGAACCACCTGCAGCTTCTCCATCCTCAAGTGTTTGTGAAAACATGCCTCATTCTGTCATTATCCAGCGTTTTATTGTATGATTGTTCGAGATGTTCGTTGTTTCCCATCAGTTGTAACGTTTTATTAATGCACGCATCAAATAAATGCATGCATTTTTGTATATATCTCTGTTTTTTTTTGTATTCAAAGTCTGATAACTCTGAGAGAATAATCTTGAAATATTCAAATCTTGTAATTCCGTGGCCACTAGGTGGTACAAAGCTTCAACCAATTACAGTCCCTGAATATGAAACCTAAATAAATAAGGGGCTGGTGTCATATCAGAGCTATCAAATTGGTAGGCAAGAAGTCAAAGAGCAGTTGGATGAGTAGTAAAGCTATTATATGTTTTATCAGATGCAGCTCCTCCCAGCAGACTAGGCTAAATAGTAGATGAGACATTAATAATTAATCACATTTACACCTATACATTGATGGATTCCTTTATTCACATATATTTAAATATATTTTTATAAGAAAGATAGGACAAGCAGGCTATATATCATTTCATTTGGCAATTAGTTAGGAGTCTGCATGAAATAGTTGCTCTTTTACACATTTTTAACCACACTGGAGCAAACTACCATTCATTAAAAGCAAACATGTTTAGAAATTGCAATAAAATATACAATATGGCGTATATGTGTATTTATTTATTTGACATATAGTACATATATTCAGCACTTTTTTTTGTTTTTTTAATTGGTACAAAATGTTTATGTATCAAAAAAGTCATTTATAAAATAAAATGTAAGAAATTTGGTTTGTGAAGAGCCCAATTCTAATTTATCTAGCATTTTCCTAATAAAATAACTGCATAATAGTTTTTACATGGTCATTGTTAAAATAAAAAAAGCACATCACATGCACACATTTCTAGCATACACCCAGTTGTTTTGTTAATATGAGTTTCTAAATCCTTCCAAAATACCAGTTTGCAATTTCTTTATCAACTGATTGGACACAAATGGCGTCAAGCTCTCCCTGCGCCTTGTATATAAATTGTGGGCGTTTCCCTGAGCGCATCGCTTGTGTTACCGTCGGGTTGTTCAATTCATTTGAACGGTTCGTTCGAACGAGTCATTTCAGTGAGCCGGTTCTTTCGATTTTAAATTGTTGCCAGAACATCCACGAGTAGCATTTTATGTTACATTGTTTTAATGCATTACTTTTAAAAGTAACTTTCCCCAACACTGGTTATCACTATGTGTTTTTTTTGAGTAAGTTATAATAAAGATATTCGTTGTATTCAGTAGCTTAGCTTGCTCTATTATTTTTCTATTCTATCTGTTTTCCTTTTATTTATTATATAATTAAAAAAACCTTGCTACGTGTACTGCGTTACGCTAACTGAGACTTGTTATAGCACTTGCGTATATTGCTCTTTTGTTGATTTTGATTGCTTCCATTGTCCTCATTTAAGTCGCTTTGCATAAAAGCATCTGCCAATGACTAAATGTAAATGCATAGAAATGTATATATGTATCAGATTGATTTAATTGATTTTTTTTTATCATCCCTACATCGTAATAAATAAATAAACAAATAATCTTTAGAGTCAAATGCTTATGTTGCTACAATTTTTCCCTCGCAGCACGTTCTTCTAAAAGATCCAGAGAGAATCGGTTCGACTGAATCATTAAAGAGAACCGAGTCAAACGAACGACTCAAATGGGCTTTTTGTGGAGTAATAGAAACCGTTGAACATGTAATATTAAAATGTCGGAAATATACAGGTGCATCTCAATAAATTAGAATGTCGTGGAAAAGTTCATTTATTTCAGTAATTGTGAAACTCGTGTATTAAATAAATTCAATGCACACAGACTGAAGTAGTTTAAGTCTTTTGGTTTTTTTAAT